TGCCCTCCAGCCTGGGCGACAGAGTGAGACCCAAAAAAAAAAAAAAAGAAAAGAAATGAGAATTTGAGACCCTCTGGGGAGGAGACATCACAAGTCAGAGCTGCTGATGGGGTAGGGGAGGGTAAATGGCATTCCAGGGACCCCTCCTCCGAGCGGCCTTCCTTGCCCACCCACCTCCCAAACCAACCCTCTTTCCTCTCGTCTCTAGGACCACGAGGCACTCCCTTGGTTTTCTGTTCATTCTTCCAGGGGCTGGGTCCTTGGAGACTCTTGCAGGCTGGTTCAGAGACCAACTCAGCTCAGCGTTTCCTGAGTGAGTGAACGAATGAATGAATGAATGAATGAATGAGTCGACTACATTGGAGAGGCAAGAGGAAGGAGGACCAGGCCAGGCAGATCAAACTGCATAGAGAAACCAGAAAGGCTCGCCCAGGCCCCTCCTGCACCTGCGCCCAGGTGTCTCACTCACTGGGATGTCATTCTGTGGGGAGTCGCTCTCAGCTGGCCAACACAGCCAAGGCCATCCTGGGCTGTAGCCTGTCTATGCCAGTGTCATGCCAGACATCTCAGATAGCCCGCAGGCCTCTCAAACCCCAAACTCGCCTGGTGGTCCTCCCCTGCCTCCCCACCTCCAGACCAGCTATCTGTCTCGGGGGACACAGCTGCATCCTCCAGACCCCTGAAGGCAGAAACCAGGAGACCTTCCTTAAAGTCACTTTCAGGTCAGGCGCAGTGGCTCACACCTGTCATCCCAGCACTTTGGGAGGTCAGGGTGAGAGGATTGCCTGAGCTCAGGGGTTCAAGACCAGCCTGAGCAACATGGCGAAATCTCGTCTCTACAATAAATCAAAAAATCAGCCAGGCGTGGTGGCGCACGCTTGTGGTTCCGACTATTTGGAAGGCTGAGGCGGAAGGATCGCCTGAGCCCAGCAGGTCAGGGCTGCTGTGGCTGTGAGCATGCCACTGCCCTCCAGCCTGGGCGACAGGGTGAGACTCCAACTCAAAAACAAAAACTGAATTTTTTTCTCTCAACATACTTATTTTGAAATTCTTTCATATTATTGTGTGCATCAGTTCAAGATTGAAAACTTCTAACTCCTCAGAGACACTGATATGAAAAAAATGAAAAGGCAAGACACAGACTGAGAAAATACTTTCAAAACACATCTGACAAAGAGCTTGCATCTAGAATACATAAAAGCTCTTACAACTGAACAAAAGATAAACACCCCAGTAATACTGGCCAAAAGCCGGGTGTGGTGGCTCACGCCCGTAATCCCAGCACTTTGGGAGACCGAGGTGAGAGGATTGCCTGAGTCCAGGGGTTCAAGATCAGCCTGGGCAGTTTGGCAAGACCTCCTCTCCACAAGAAATGAAAAATTAGCCAGGCGTGATTGTGCACACCTGTGGTTCCAGCTCCTTGGAAGGCTGAGGAGGATCACCTGAGCCCAGCAGGTCGAGGCTGCGGTGGCCGCGAGCGTGCCACTGCCCTCCAGCCTGGGCGACGGAGTGAGACTCCAACTCAAAAAAAAATCGTGGCCTATCCACACACGGAATATTACTCAGCAATAAAAACGTTTTTTTGACTGGACAAACACGTGTGCTGTGGCATTGAAGGACAGTGGCTGCGATACTTCATTCATCCATTAGATGGCAGCAAAAGCTCAGTCATGTCCAGCTCCATCAATTGCGTCTCCTGTGGGTACCCTTCCTTGTCACAACACGCAGATAGGGATTATCCCCATTTAAAGAGTGGGAAAGAAAAAGAAGAAAAAAGAAAAGAGTGGAAAGGCCGGACACTGTGGCGTACGCCTATAATCCCAACACTTTGGGAGGCTGAGATGAGGGAATTGCCTGAGCCCACAGGCTCGAGACCCGCCTGGGCAACTTGGCAAGACCTCGCCTCTACAGTCAATCAAAAAATTAGCCACAGCCGGGTTCGGTGGCTCAGCCTGTAATCCCGTGCTTTGGGAGGCTGAGGTGAGTGGATTGCCTGAACCCGCGGGTTCAAGACCCGCCTGGGCAACTTGGCGAGACCTCATCTCTACAATAAATCAAAAAATTAGCCGGGCGTGGTAGCCCACAACAGAGACTCCAACTCAAAAAAAAAAGAAAAAGTTAGCCGGGCGTCGTGGTGCGTGCCTGTAGTTCTGGCTACTCGAAAGGCTGAGGCAGAAGGATCACCTGAGCCCAGCAGGTCGAGGCTGCGGTGGCTGGGAGTGGGCCACTGCACTCGTCTGGGCGACAGAGTGGGACTCCAACTCAAAAAAAAAAATTAATAAAATAAAGAGTGGGAAAACGGAGGCCTGGGGAGGGTCAGTTTGTCAGAGCCAGGACTCTGGGCTTCCAAGTCAACCCCTGGAGGTAGACCCTCCCAGATGTCTTTTCCCCATGCTCGGTCCACCTCCTCTAAGCCTCTCACTCTGCTGATTCCATCCTTTTACTGAAGTCAGAAATATGCCGCCAGGGCCGTGCCAAGCAGCCCTAGATCCTGGGCCTGCACGTTTTGACTTGAGGGCTGGGGGTGGTGGAGCTGCCAGCTGGATTCAGCAGCACTGGGATGCTGAAGTCCAACGTGCGAGCGTGTGAGCACCACCCCTAGTGCTGGAGTATATATAGCAACATACCTGGGGTTGTTTATACTAAGATCCAGCCTCTCAGCTGGGACCTAACCTTTTGGGGAATTCATGCCCTCCAGCCCCTTTGCGTGCTCAGAGGGTGGGAGTGGCTTCTGGCCTGCTTTTCTGTCCCTTCCTGGTTCTGCATTTCCAACCCCACCAACTTCCTGTTCAACACCAGGAACCATGTTAGCCCCCGTGAATCCTCAGCCCCTTCTCTTTTTGAGTAGGAGTCTCACTCCGTCGCCCAGGCTGGAGTGCAGTGGCACACCCCAGTGTTGACCTGCTGGGCTCCAGTGATCCCTCCACCTCAGCCTTCCAAGTAGCCGATCTACAGGTGTGCATTACCACAGCCAGCTAATATATATATATATATATATATATGTATGTATGTATGTATGTATATGTATATATATATATATGTATATGTGTATATATGTGTATATGTGTATATGTATATAAATATATATATATTTTTTTTTTTT